TGTCAGTGATGAGATTTCTGATTGTTGTTATTATTAAATCATCACAGGTGCCTTTTTTTGAGAGCCCAGAACTGACTGGCAGCTCTCAGTGTCAAACTGAGGGGTGTCTTTATCTCCTCTTCAGGAGGATGTTCTGAGCTGCGGCCTGATCACTGGTGTGGGTAAAAGGGTGTTTAGGAACAGGGAATGACGAGGTTAGGCACAACCCACTCTGTCTGAAAGAAAGCAATTGATGGTGACAAGGTGAAAATATCTGTACACAGCAGGACTCACCAATACTCTTGCTAAACTATCTGTATTTCAGGTGCGGTTTGTATTTATGTCTGAGCTGTGAGTCTGCTAAAGCCTGATTTCAGGTTTTAGCTTGGTTCAGTTTCTGATTGTCTCATCCTCTCCTCAGGCAAAGGGACAGTCCTCCAGCAGCAAATCTGAGAAGCAGAAAGCAAGCTAAACGTTAACCTAACCAGGTGAGATTTCTTCTTCCCTGCTCCCTGGGCTACCACAAAGACAATTTCATGCTTGTGAATTAAAGCTGAGTTTTGCTAGCAGTCCTTGAAGCAAACCAAGGCATGGTTAAAACTACTACGAAATCAAAATGCTTGGGATGACTATGCACTTCAGGGTTGCCAGGCAGGAAAGGTTTTTCACACCCTTTATCCATTCAGTTTGTACAGAACTACTTCATGCAGCTAAACTCGTTTAGCCTGGAATTCCAAGCATTCCAAGGTGTAACATGCTGCTTCCCTAAGACATTTTCACTGAGTAATGAGGATCAAGCACATCTCAGCTGGGAGCTTTGATCTTTAGGGTACTGACCTTGTGTCATTACCTCTGCTCTGGACCCAGCTGGAGGCTTAGTTCCCATAATTCTTCCCAGATTTACATTGTGAGTTTTATTTCCAATTAACAGAAGATGAGCACTCTGACTTTATTTTGTTTTGTTTTGTTTTGTTTTGTTTTGTTTTCTCCCCCCACCAGGATCCTGCTGCATCGTGTAAAATGTCTTCTTTCTGTGGGTGGATGATTATTCCTGAAGAACAAAAGCTGATGGCAAAAGCACATAGTTATTCTGGGTGGTTTTTGTACAGTGATACTTGCTGGACTTTTCCTCATCTTTTCTTTTTTTCCCAGTAGTAGACTCAGGTTTGTTTCTTTCCCCCAGCAATTCAGTTTATTAGGTCTTACACAGTCTGACTTAGTTGTAATTTCCTTCAGCATTCAGGGGGAAAGAATGCTTTCTATTTGCAGGAAATATATTGCATCAATGAAGAGCTATGCCAAAAAAAAAAAAAAAGAAGAAAGAGAAAAAAATGTCTGCAGACTTTTGCACATAATCTTCACATAGTGCCTGTAAATCTCTGAAGAGTTCATATGTGCTAGCATTTTTTAACGTTGCAGTGGATGCATTAAGTGTTCTGGAATATAGTGAGCTCTTGTTACCCTCAGCTGGGCTGTGCAGCCTTCTGCTCAGGCCAGCTCCTGGTGGGAAGCTGCAGGCCAGCTGTGGGGTGGCTAAAGAGTGAGAAATTGGGGATTAGCCGCTTCTTCCAGCACGTCTGGACATCAAGCAGGTATTTGGGATGCTGCCTTTAGCAGTAGTTAAAACACACTAGGGCAGGACTTCTTTTTTTTTTTTCCTAATTATTATTATTACCATTATTTCCAATCGTATCTGTACTGTTATCTCATAATTTCAGGAGTCTCCTGGACTGGACAAATCACAAATGTAACACAGAGGGTGGGGAAGGAAAGGAGGGGCGCAAGTCCCCCAGCAGCGATCAAAGCTCAGCTCCAGGGTCAGGCTCCTTTTTACCTTATTTTGCACTGTTTTCCAGTCCTCCTGTTCCTGGCACTCCATCAGGGAACACAGGGATGGGGCTGAAGGTGTTTGCTGCAGGGAGCCAAGCCCTGCTCCTGCTGTTCCCTGCGAGGACAGGCACGGCCAGGCGCCTCTCACGGGCCTCAGTGGGCTTTCCTCCACCTCCCTGCCCTGCAGAACACCCTTCTGCTCATCCTGAGTCCTGCACAGCCCTGCCCTGGCAGCACAGCCCGGGCTCTGCGGCAGGGATGGCGCAGGCACTGAAGTTGGGGATATTCAGACTCGTGACTGTACTTGCAGTCTGCACCGTGCCGCTCCAATAAAGTTTTTAAGGATGCGCTGTGCCCTTCCTGGCTTTTCATTCATCACCGCTGCTCTCAGGCAGGAGAAAGCCTAGGAATAATTTAAAAAACCCTCACAAATGTTGGCATATTAAAATTGAATCTAACATTTAAAAAAAAAAAAAACGGCAAAATACAGAATTGCAGAATCAGCTAGGTTGGGAAAGACCTTTGAGATCATGAGGTCCAAGCTATGACTGAACACCAGCTCGTCAACCGCACCATGGCACTTGGTGCCACATCCAGCCTTTTCTTAAACACCTCCTGCAACTCCACCACCGCCCTGGACAGCCCCTTCCACTGCCCAATCCATCTTCCTTTACATTTTGGAGAAACTTTCCATGTTGGTGACTCCAGGAAAGCCTTCACAAGCTCAGCAAGACCCTGCTACTTTTTTTTTTTTTTTTTTGCCCCTTTTCCTTTGCATTTCAAAGCTGCATCGTAGCTGACCAAGAGCAAATCTAACTTTTTGACTGCTGCTGTGCTGGGAGGCAGCTGGAAGAGCAAGATGCAATTCACTGAAATTGTTTGTGGCCAGGTAAATTGACATGTCCTGAAATACCTGTGTGTGAGGTTCCATCTCTTATGTAGGAGGGCTGCAGTGCACATCCAAAATTAAAAGTTGGGGAGGGAGTTCCTGGGGTACCGGGAAGGCCGCCTAATTTTTCCCTCAGAACTGAGAAGTTAAAAGCAGAAAGCAGAAATGCCATTTACTGCTCACAAAAGAAATGAATGCACAAAAGGGGGTCAAAAAAAGACCTTTCAGAAAAATCACCTGCAATTTGAGTTTTTGTCAAATTCTCCGTAAAGCTCTTAAGATGTTTTAAAAACAGCAGTTGACAATGCTTGAATAGCACAAAATGTCACTGGCGTGATGCAGAGGTTTCTCAGAATTCCTGATTTATACATAAATATATGTTTTATTTAAAAACACATGGAATTTGGCGTGAGCAGGAGGAAGTGGTGCTTTCTGCAGGGTTTTGTAAGAGCTGCTGGCTCTCTGCAATGCAACAGGGTGACTTCCCAACTCCCATGGAGTGGGTTTGGACTCCTTGGGCAGGCTTGATCTCCAGGTGGGAGAAAAGGGAGGCATAGTCAAGTCAAATGCTTGGGATTAATTCTAGATTATGATTTTTTTTTTTTTCCCTCTTCAGTCTTTACCTCTGTTAAAATTCCAACTGTTTGGGCACATCCATGAGGAAACTGAGACAGGCTGGAACCACACAGGAAATAATAAACACCAGGGACTCAATGTCAAGGGCACGTTTGCAAGAGCAAAGAAATCAAGTGCCCACAAGCACAAGTGCCAATTAACAGATTTGAGTTAAGTTTAATACAAAAATAAGAGTTTTCAGCAGGAAAACGGAGCAAGTGAGCCTTGAAAAACAGAAACTCCACTACTAAAAACCTCCAGGGTTTCAGCCTTGCTTTCTTGGGACTGGATGTGGCACCGGCTGTCAGGGGTGGATAAAAGCCAGCATTCCATGGCCCTGCCGGTGACACACGAGAGCCACCAGGGCTGCCCGAGCGTTCCCTGCAGTGACACGCTCCGGCCACGCCCCTTTCCACTGGCCCCGCCCCTTTCCCCATTGGCCCCGCCCCTTCTCCACTGGCCCCGCCTCCCCATGTGACCACGCCCCCTTTCCCGCTCTGAAACCGCCCCCCTCGGCTGCGGCTCCGCCCCCAAGCGCTCCGCGCACCTCCCATTGGCCGGCGGCGCCGCCTCGCGCCCGCCGCGGCCTCCCATTGGCTGCGGGTGGCGCTGTTGTTGTTATTGCTGTTACTGCTGTAAACAGGAGCGGAGCGGTGCCACCTGTCAGCTCCGGTCACCTCTGATCACCTTTGGTCACCTCTGGCCACCTTTGGTCACCTTTGGTCACCTTTGCTGAGCTTTGGTCACCTCTGACCACCTCTGGTCACCTTTGGTCACCACTGGTCACCTTTGGTCACCTCTGGCCACCTTCGGTCACCTTTGGTCACCTCTGGACAACTCTGGTCACCCTTGGTCAGCTTTGGTCACCTCTGGTCACTTCTGGCCATCTTTGGTCACCGCTGGTCACCTTTTATCGCCTCTTATCGCCTCTTACCACGCCACCTCTCACCCGTCATCTCTTTTCACCTCTCACTCCTTGTCACCTCCTTGTCCGCTGTCGCCACTCGTTTGCCGGAGCTCGGCCCTCGCTCGCCCGGGCCATGTCCCTGCGCGGCGCCCGCGGGCTGCCCGTGTCCCCGCTGCCCTCCCGGGGCACGGCCCCGCTGCCGCCGCTGCCGCCGGACGGGGCTGAGAGCCCGCACAGGTGAGGGGTGACCGGGGGAGCCGGGCTGGCTTTGCCCAGGGACACCCCGGATGGGACATGGGACACTAAAGGACGTTTTTGGGATGCTCTCGTTCCCGGGGCACTGACCCTTCCCCGTCCGACCGCCCGCAGGTTCCGGGACACCCCGAGGAGGGGACACGGGCGGCTGTGGCACTCGCTGGCCCCGGAGCCGCTGGCCTCGGACCGTGCCCGTCCCCGGGACTGCTGGCAGCCCAGGGATGCAGGTGAGGGGCGCGGCCGCTGCGCCCCACGGCTGTGCCGAGGGTGTCGCGGGGGGGTCGGGGGTGTCCGGCAGGGCTTGGCCATGGGGGTGGCGGCGGGGCAGCTCCTGGGGGGCGTTGGGCAGGAGCCCGTGCCCGGGGCTCAGGCGGGAACCGCTCCGCTGGGGACACGCGACATTCCGTGCGGCACCGCTGCTCCCAACGGCGCTGCCACCCGCGGCTCCCGGCCCGGCCCCATCCTGCCCCGGGGTGGGGCCCCATCCCCACACCCTGTGCCTTGTTCCCCGCAGGATCGCGGCCGGAGTCCCACACGCAGCAGAGCCCCGCGCAGGAAGAGTGAGTGGCGCCATCCCCGTGTCCCCCCGGGGACAGACAGACAGACAGCCGCTGTCCCTGCCCCGCCGCTCCCGAGCAGCAGGGCCTGTGCACCCTGCTGTGACCTCCAGTCTGTGTCTGGGGGTGACAACCTGGTGGGGGACGCGGATGGAACACCCGTAAATCCCATCTCTGCTCTCCCCGTAGCTTCCAGAAAACCATCGCGGAATTTGGGAGAGCTCTCAAAGAGTACGTCAGGGGGCTCTGTCCTTGCGGCAGGACATCAATACCAGGCTGTCCTCGAACTCGGGCTGTCCCGTCCCTGTCCCTGTCCCAAAAGCCAGGCTGTCCCTGTGCCCAGGCTGTCCCCATGTCTGGGCTGTCCCCATGTCCAGGCTATCCCTGTCCCATTCCCAAAAGCCAGGCTATGCCCAGGCTATCCCAAAGGCCAGGCTGTCCCCGTGTCCCTCCTGGGGTCCCACTCAGGCCATCGATGTTCTCTCCGTGCCTGGACGTGCTGTTGCCCCAGGTCCCTTTGGGAAGCTGTGACAGCCCTGGGGAGGTCTTACCCCACCCTGAGCTCATCGGGAACAGAGGTGACAATGGCAGAGGAGTGGGACACAGCGATCAGGGACACCTGGAGTCATTCGACGCTTTCCTTTCCCGGCTCTTGCAGCAGGAAGCTCCTCCACCAGAGGATCAGCTCCATGCCGGTGAGTGCTGCAGGACCCTGCCGGGTGTCCGGCCGAGCCGGGGCGAGGAGGATGGAGCCAGGAGAGGGGACAGGGCCGTGCAGCACCGCTCACCCCGCGGCTGTCCCGCAGCAGCGCCAGCTGGAAGCCAGCCCGGTGCTGAAGGACATCTCCCAGCTCCAGGTGCGCAGGGACAGAGTGCGCCAGAGCCAGCCCGAGGATGAGGTGAGGGGCGCAGTGACACCGGGGGGGGTCAGGGAGGGGACCGGGTGCTGGGGGGGGGGTCAGGGAGGGGACACAGCGGTGCTGACGCCGTGTCCCCCCCGCTGCAGGAAGGTTTTGTCCCCAAGAAGCTGCAGAGGCTGGGCCAGCGGAGCCGCCTGCCTGCCGGCCACGACGCTGCCAGGAGAGATCTCCTTGCCAAGAGCCCCTGCGGCGCTCCAGCAATGCAGGTGAGAGAGGCTGGAGCGATCGGGAGGAAGCACGGATGGCTGATCATGGGAAAAGTGGCATGCGCCGCTCCAGCCTGCCCTGGAGGCGTGTGCGTGCGGGAGATGGGCGGGCTGGGGGCTCATGGGGACACGCTGGCTCCAAAGCTGCGAGGCACTGGGAGGTGGATGGACCTGGGCTACGGTACCCGTCCCTAACGGAGGGTGGGAAGCAGCTGGAATCCCCTCCAGGATCTCCTCTGCTTTTTCCCAAAGTTCCCCCAGCTGCCGCCGCCCCAGGCCATGGAGAAGCCGCTGACCACGCCGGTGACGAAGAAGGAGGAGGCAAAGCTGGTACGTGGCCACCTTTGGCAGTGGATGGAGCTCCACAGTCCCCTCCTGGGGGCTCCGAAGGGGGGTCCCTGGGCTGGGGGCAGCTCGGTGAGCAGCCCCAGCCCTGGAGAGCTTGCCAGACCCCCCAGGCAGCAGCGCGGGCTCTCCCCACAGCGCCCGGGCAAGCGTGGCCACCGCCGGCGGCTCTTCCTCTCGCCCTCGGTGCCCCGCAGTGTCGCCGGGCCCCTCCCGAAGCGGGGACTCCCCTGGGACAGGGACAGCCCTGCCAATGCCCAGCGGCAGAGCAGGGCAGCCGGCAGCCCTGAGCAGGAGGCGTCGCTGGAGCCGGTGGGTGATGGGGAAGGTGTGGGGGCAGAGCCAGCGTGTCCCCGGCAGCGCTGGGACACTGTGCCAGAGCCCCTGGTGACATCTGGGGCTATCTCTGATCGGTGCCTCCGCAGGGAGCGTGGCTGGAGCCCTGCGGGTCTGCCCAGCTCCAGGAGATCGAGAACCTGCTGTCCAGCGATGACCAGGAGCTCATTGGGGACTTCTCCAAGGTAGGGGAAGGACTTCTCCAGGATGGGGCAGCTCCGGGGGCACTGCAGGGGCCATCATCAGAGCAGGGACCATCATCGGAGCCCCACAGTGCCGCCACGGAGAGCCCAAAGCCAGCTGGTGGCCCTTGCTTGGGGACACGGGGCCTTGGGGCTGTGACCTTGCACGGAGTGAAGAGCCCCCTCACTGCTCCTCTACTCCGTGCCACAGGCACGTTTGTCTGTCCCTTCCCCTCCCGGGGCTGCAGAACCGGCCACGGGCTGCTCCTGGGCTGGGGAGACAGTGCCACCCCCTGGGACAGAGCTGAGCCCAGGCTGTGTCTCCTCCAGCCTCACCTCCTGCCCACGGTGGAGGGCAAGGACCCGGGCCTGAAGTACATCTCCCCTGGCACGGTAAGAGGACGGCCGCCCTTCCGCAGCCCCCGAGGGGCCGCCTGCCTCTCCCCAGCCCCGTGTGTCCCCTCTTGGTGACCCGGTCCCCCCGCAGCTGGCGGCGGTGCTGTCGGGACGCTACAGCAGCTTCATCGGGAGCAGCGTCGTCGTGGATTGCCGGTACCCCTACGAGTACGAGGGCGGCCACGTCAAGGTCAGAACCCCCCCCGTGGCCCCGGGGCTGGGAGAAAATGGGGGTGTCCGACCTCCAACCAGCCCCAGAGGTGCTGAGCCCATCCCGGAGACAACAGGGATTCAGATGTGGAGACAACAGGGGAGACATTCAGGAGGCCCTGGGATCTGTTGGGTACCCTCCGAGAGATTAAGCAGCTCCCACAAATATGCTGAGCTCCCAGAGAGGAGTGAATCAGCCCCCCCAAAATGCTGAGCTCCCAGAGAGGAGTGCAGCAGCCCCTCCAGAGCCCCTCTGGGGGTTGAGCAGCCTCCCATGAAGGGTCCCAAGCCACCCAGAGGGATGGGGCAGCCCCTGAAAAGCACCAAGCTGCCCCACAGAGGGTTGATTCCCACATGGAAAGAGGAGCATGACGGTGGGGGAGGCTGGGGGGTAATGTTCTTGGGTCCATGGAGAAAATGAGGTTGGAGAAAGAGGGGAAAAAGACACCGGGTGTCCCTCCTCAGGGTGCTGTCAACCTGCCGCTGCAGCGAGACGTGGAGGAATTCCTGCTGGAGCGCCCCATCGTGCCCCAGGACGCCAGCAAGAGGGTGATCCTCATCTTCCACTGCGAGTTCTCCGTTGAGCGGGGGCCCAAAATGTGAGTGAGGGCATGGGGAGGGGGCACAGGGGTGAGTTGTGGGAATTCCGCACATCATTCCTGATGTCCAGAGTAGCCGAGACAACCCTTGGGGGGCTCGGAAGTCCTGGAATGCGACCAGAAGTGCTTGGTGGCTAGACTTTGATCCTGCACAGGATGTAACACCTGTATGAGGATGAGAGGATCACACGGGGATAAGTGGTGAAGGGATAGATTAATTACAGAGTGAAAACACAGGTTTTAGAATCTCGGTACAGGGGGGTTCTAGGAGCCAAGATGGAGGAATTAGGGCGTGTCCTGTCCTTCTTCTTGTCATCCATCTTTGATGGTGATGGTGGCACTTTGAGATTGGTTCTTACTGAATTTGCACTTGTCAATAAGAGTGAAAGGTATTGGGAGGAAAAGGTAAATATCCTACACGTAGTTTTTGGTATAAAAATAAGCGGCCGCCCCGAGGGAGGTCAGTGTGCCCATGGCTGACTTGCTGTGCGGACCTCTGTCGGGCCGGGAGACAACACTGTAGATAAGAATTAATAAACAACTCTGAAGAACTGAAAAACCTGAGGACTCCTTTCGTCCTTTTGAGCATGGGCTGCCTCAAGGCCATCCAGAGCCTTACCAGGCCATTTCAACAGCCGAGACAGGATAGTGAGTGAGGGACCCCCAGCCGGGGCTGATGCCATGGGCTTTGCCCGGCCACAGGTGCAAATTCCTGCGGGACAGGGATCGCTCCTGCCACAAGTACCCGCGGCTGCACTACCCCGAGCTCTACGTCCTGAAGGGAGGGTACCGCGAGTTCTTCTGGCAGTTCCCGGTGAGTTCCTGCCTGCCTGCCGGTGTCCCCATGGGGGCAGAAGGGCAGGAATTGGGAGGGGATAGATGGATGGATGGATGGATGGATGGATGGATGGATGGATGGATGGATGCATGGATGCATGCATGGATGGATGGATGATGGATGGATGCATGGATGGATGCATGGATGCATGGATGGGGGGCACAGGGCAGTGGGGAGGGGCGGCTCTGGGCATCTTCCCTGCCATGGGAGGGGATGATGGAGCTGTGCGTTGCAGGGACACTGCGAGCCCCGGGACTATCGGCCCATGGAGCACCCGGCGTTCAGGGAGGAGCTGCGCAGGTTCCGCGGGCAGAGCCGGCGCGGGCGGCGGGCGCTCTCCATCCTCTGAGCGCGCCGGGAGAGCGCCGGAGCCAGGACTGTGGGATGGGGATGCACCTCAGCTTGGGCTGGCTTATGGCACGAGCTTGGGGTGGTATTTAGTGTTAGGATTGGGTTTGTGTTTGTTTGTTGCTATAAATATTTTTTGTCTATTGTTATAAATATTTTTTGTGTTTGTTATGAATTTTTGGTTGTTGGTATAATTATTTGTTTGTTTATCGTTATAAATATTTTTGTGTTGCTTGTTATAAATAGTTTTGTGTTTATTATGCTTTTTTTGGTTGTTGGTATAATAGTTTGTTTGTAGTTATAAATATTTTGTGTTTGTTGTTATGCTTTTTTTGTTGTTGGTATAATTGTTCGTTTATTGTTATAAATATTTTTGTGTTTATTGTTATAAATATTTTGTGTTACTTGTTATAAATATTTTTGTGTTACCTGTTATAAATATTTTTGTGTTTATTGCTATGAAATTTTGGTTATTGATGTATTGGTTATTGTTATAATTGGTATATTGATATATTTTGTATAGATATACTAGGTTTTGGGTATTGGCTATTTGCTTATTTGTTTGTTTGTTCATTATAAATATTTTTGTGTTTATTGCTATGAAATTTTGGTTTTTGGTATATTTGCTTATTGGGTATATTGGTATATTTGGTATATTGGTATATTTACTTATTTGTTTGTTTGTTCATTATAAATATTTTTGTGTTTATTGCTATGAAATTTTGGTTTTTGGTATATTTGCTTATTGGGTATATTGGTATATTTGGTATATTGGTATATTTACTTATTTGTTTGTTTGTTCATTATAACAATATACTTTATAAACACTTTTGTGCTGACTGTTATGAATATTTTTGCGTTTGTCTGTCGTTGGGGCTGTTTGTTCCAGTCTCTGTTAATAAATTCTTCTTGCAGGAGAACAAACCCGACTCCTGAGCTCTCCAGTTTGGGGTCAGGGCTCATCAGGGCACTCAGGAGCATCAACCCCTCAGATTCTGAGAAACAATTCTCAATGATCTGTTAAAACATTCTGGGGGAATAAAAAATAATATCAAAGCAAATTAACTTTATATAAAGGGTTGCCACAACAGTTAGGCTGTCACACAATACATTCCCTCACTTGTAAATAGGAAGGGCTATTCATTTAATTGCTGATATCTTTTACATTTCCCTTGAAATGCTAAAAGTTTGACCTTCTGGTTTACATGTTCCTAGGCGCTTTGGTATCCATGGCACCTGCTTTGGTATGGATCTATGTCATAGTAACAAAACACAAAACGTAACTCTTTCTCCAGGAATTTTTATATGCTAAAGCTTCAGTGGGCTTTGGTCCTCTCCAGCTGCCATAAAATAATGATCATAATATTGTATCACTAAGTAATTTTTCATTACAGAGAGGAATTTAACACCACAAGAAATGGCAAATACAATCTACACTGATACCCGTTGTGACGTGGCTGTGGAATACACAACAACTAAACAGCAAATAAAACCAATGGGTATGGTAATGCTTCGTCATAGCCCCATTTTAAACAGGCTGCTGAGTAACTTTGGCATGGAAACAGCATGACAGCAAATGCAAATTCCCTGAAACTTGCTGAGTGTTTATCTGAGGAGCGTCACAAAGAAGCCAGGAAGGAATTTTCATCGTGGGCTGCCAGCAAGAGGGATTTCCCTGCAGGGTGCTGTGCTCAGACCAACGCTGAGGAGCAAACTTTCTGTGTGTTACTCTTGTCCCAGCACAGACAGGAGGGCACAGTTATAAAAGCCACCTGCAAAGGTTTTAGGCTGCCCTCGTGGACCTGCAGCCACAGAGTGTTAGGCCCAGCTCTGTAAAATCCTCCATAAATAATTGCATTTGACCTGTACTTATTATTCTGGCCCACTCTTTACCCTATGCATGATCAGGAAACCAAACCAGACCTGCTCATTCTGCTGCAGATCCTTGCAAATTGAGTTTTCTGGGACTGCTGGATCTCCCTGGCAGCTCAGAGCTCATTAGGAAATCTAATTTAACATCCTGGCAGTGTACAACTGCTTCCCACAGCATGCAGGGACACACAGCAGCCCCTGGATTTGGAAGCCCCACAGCAATGCTGCTCCTACTGTTACAACTGGAGGCTGATACAACTCTCTGAAAGGAAATAGTGATATTTTTTCCCTCCTCTGTTCTTTTTTCCTCCACTGTTCTTTTTTACATCTGTTCTAGGCCTCTAACAATCCAGCAAAGGGCTGTTAGTGCCCTGAGTGCAAATGACATGATATCTTTGACCAGGAAAAATAATCCAAATAATCAGTCTCCAGTCTTCAAAGGCATTTCCTGGAGCAGCTGCTGCTGGGGACAGCCCTGTCCTGAGTGAGGTGTGTTGTGTGACTCAGTGTGCCCAGAGTGCTGCCAGAAATAAAGAATGAAGTTTGTTTCTCAGGTATTCCAGCCCAGAACCAGGAGACGATCTCACCAGTGTGACCAAACTGCTCTCCAAGAGGTGGCAGAGGATCAGCCTTTGGCACAAAGCCCATCTTCTGCCTGTTTCATTTACAGAAAGAGTAGGAAGGGTCAGAACAGCCATTTCCTGTTCCCCAGATTTGTGTCACATTATCATGCCCAACCTAACTGTGGAGTTTTCTTCTTGCTGCCAATCTTTAGCCCTGCAAGATCTGGGAAGCTGAGGGATGAGGTCCATCATCCACTGCTCCTCTTCTAAGAGGGCACACAAGAACACAGAGAGGTGCAGAAATGCAACTTTCAACCTTTTAGTAATCCTCTTATTGTCCCCCAGGCTCACACACCCTGAATTTTGCTTTGTACCTTACCTCAATCACTGTAGTCCTAAATTTTTCTTTTCTTTGAACACGCAGGATGTCTTCATGCCACGTATAAAACTCAGCCTGGCCTTCTGCTAACAATTTCCTTCCCCACCATCTGCCTCAAGCCCCTTCTCCCCCCCACATAACTCTCACCTGGTTGTTCTTCCCTCTCTTTTCTGCTGCCCCATCATCCTCCAAGACCAAGTCCATGGTCCCAGCCTTGCACACCACGTGTGATACACGCCTCTCCTCTCTTGGGGTCTCTAGCTGGTCAGAGTGACCCCAAGAAAAGTTAGAAAGTCTCTTTTCCCAGCCTGGCAGTCGAAGAAGAAGTCAGAGCCCTTAATTTCTCGGTCTCAAGGTTGTTTATTGTTTCTTATCTGTAAAATTCTTTCTCCTGTCCAGCTGAGGTCTGCTCAGCAGGACAGTCAGAGACACATTGCCCACCTCAGAGGTGGTGTTTATACTATAGTTTTTTATACTAAAAACTATGTGTACATTATTTACCATAACTTCCCAATACCTCTCACTTATGTTAGACAGCGAGTTTCTACTCTAAACCAATCCAAAAGTGCCAGAACCACAGCAGAAGATGGAGGCCAAGAAGAAGAAGGAGAAAGGCTGGACATGCCCAGATTCCTCCATCTTGTCCCCCTGAATCTCCATTCTAAAAACACCAGAAAATCTATTTTTCACCCCGTGATAAATTCACTATCATTGTACGTAAACTTTCGTGGCTTGTAATTCTTCATACAAGGTTGGCAATTGTTTTTTCCATGGGTCAAGATCAAACCCACAGGTGTTTTGGGCTCCATGCCAGGGTCTCTGAGCCCCCTGACAGGGTCTCCAATCCTCCAGGGCAGCCAGAGGAATTTCCTGGGTTCTGACACTCCTCCACCCAGACCTTCCCTCCAGGTCACTTCTCCTCCATCTCAGACCTGAGGTGTCACACACAGCCACGGCTGCACACCCCAACCCTGTTCCTGACACCTGGGACAAGATTCCTCCCTTTCCACCTCTCCCTCTTTCTCTCTGCCATGTGTCAAGCCAGATATAAAATCTGTATGTGTCACAGATTAAACATCACCTGAGAGGAGGGAAAAAAGAATGGGAACTGTCTCCAACTCCAGCTTGCCCTGATGGGGAAATGTATTGAAATCTCTGCCCTGCCTTTTATGAGATCAGTCGATGACCTGTCCTGCATCTGTTTTAAACTATAAAATAGCTGTTCTGCAGCTATTTTAAGCTCTAATCTCCTTGCTTTCTGCTGGCAACAGTTAAAGTGGCTGCATTGCTACCTCCTTGCACATCCCTGCTCCAATTCCTCTCTCTGTGGAGGAAACCAGGGGCGCCAATCCCTATAAAATGTCTTGTTGGGATTTTCAATTGCTCTTGGCTCTGACCCCTTCAGCAAGCCAAAGGGGAGGGCAGAAAGGCACTTTCAAGTAGTTTTAACCATCTCACATTAAAATTACTTAAACAAGGACTCTTATGTAGGGTTGGTTTGAATTTCACTCTTCAAGTACCATTAAGGTGGAGGTGGAAGATGCAGGGTCCCTTGTTAGCACTGCAGTCTCCACAAGACAACAAAAAACACAAACAGAAGCAGCACTTTGTTTCATTCAGAGGCAAGACCCAGATTCAGGTCTTGTGGTGATGTGGCAGAAGCCCTGGGATGGTGCAGGCCGTGTCAAAGGCAGCAGAAATGCTGGAAAATTCACACTCTCTATCTTTCTGGCTAGTCTTTGCTCCTCAGACCTTTGACAAAGCTGTCCAAATGTGCCCAACAACTTCTATTGGCCTGAGCAAAACTGCAGCAAACTCCAGAAGAGCTCAAAGTCCTGGAAAGCCACAAGCCAGGCCTTGGCCCGAGTGGTTGAATTAAAGGCTGTGGCCATGACATTCCAGACATTTTCTCAATAGTACCTGATAACTGTATAATGTCACACCTGATTAATTTCAAATAGTTGTTAGTAACTTTCTTTAGCAGTTCTCTGTTTCAAGATTCATCAGTTCTCTTCTGAAGAGAGCTGCAGCCACACATGGCCCCAGGAGGATCTGGGTAAAAACACTTTTAAATATAAAATGCCCAGCGGATTAATTAAACCCTGTGATTTGTTCGGCCAGCAAAAGTCATGCCAGCTTTTCTACCTGGGAAAAAGGTGCATCGCCTTCTCCTTGTTATGAATACGAAGCTTGACTAGGCCAATATTCAACCAACAATTAATTTATTAATTACTATGGTAAAGTATGAGCAATACAGCGCTGGGTACAGTGGGGGAAGTTTTCCCTCCCACTGCACACCGATAGTTGAGGCTTAGAGGTATTTATAGGGGCACTCATCAGCTTTCTCAGCAGTTTCTATGCCCAATTTTTACTCATCAGCAGTTTCCCAATTTTTACGTCACAATTCTATACAATACTGTGATTTAGTTTTTCTCTGGATGTATCTCAAAGGAGTATCCCCCGGTGGTGGTGGTTTGGTTTCTGAAAGAAGATGAATCCCATTTGGTGAGGGCCAGCTCCAC